TGAAAATATGTAATGTTCTTTTGTGTGAATAGATTAAAATTCTTATGCTTCAGTTGTTCAAGGAGACCTGCAAAATATTTTCATCATTAGATGTTAAAGTTTATTAAAGTGTATCAAATGTTCTTCATGAATACTTTGTGCATGGGAGTTAGAATGAAAGAAAGATTCACTCTTATAAACTTTTTCATCTTTTGGAATCATTATTTGAGCGCTTGAGGTGAGTGGGGGTTCAAAGTAACCAAAAGGCCTTTGAATCTTTGACTCCGGGCCTTATAGAGAGTTGACGATCCTCTATATGTGGTCAAGGATATGAATCAACTCGAGCCTTTGAATTCTTTTCTATTTTTAAGTGCGTAAGTTACGTAATATATTGTCTACGTGCCTATCATACGTGTAATGTTCAATTTGTGTTTGTTCTCTTTTTCATTTTGTTTTGGGTTCTTGGCGGTGTTTCTTGGGCTACCTTAGTTGGAGAAGTTGATTATCTTTTGAGCTTGTTTCTCCCATTTTATCAAAAAAACCAAAAAAATAAGAAAATATAAAAACCAAAAAATATTTACTTTTTATTCAAACCCCCCCCCTTTGTGTTATGTTTATAAGTTATATTATAAGTTCTTTGTTTATATAAGTTATAGTTATAAGTTTTATTATAAGTTTTATAAGTTCTTATCATATGTGTAGTTTTTTTATTTTATTTCGTGACAATGTGTGTGCATGCTTAAATGATTTCAAAAGTACAAACTTTCTCCGTGGGATCGACCCTTACTTGCCCTAGCTATAGTTTTTATTTGATTATATCTTGGGGGTTAGTTAAGGTTAATTTATAAATTTTTAATTTGTTTTGGACCGCACGACAAGTCTCCAACAAGCTTTAATGGTGATTTGAGATGAATCCCTAGTTCCCGCTTGAAAATATTTTTCTAATTCTGAACTAGCTTTTCTCTTGACCCCTTGAGAAGAAGTACTCACATCTCTAACAAGAGAAGGATTAACATCACCATCAATTGTTTCAAATATACCTTTTTTTTCTCGGGCCTTTTGCACATTCTCGTCTAATGATTTTTGGATAAGAGCCTTAACCGTGGCATCGACTTTCCTAAAAGCATCAACACTACCCCTTTTTCTCGCTAAATGGTGTTTCACTCTATTAATTCCCCCTCCTTTGAAAATATTTTGACAAAAAGTGCAAATTAACACTTTTTTATCTCTATAATCCTTAGCTTCGATACAATAATCCCAAGCCTTATCTTGTTTACTTCTTACATTTTGAGTGACGGGAGTAAGATTGGGAACCTCCAAATGAGCAGTGAGCAAATCTTCCTCCATAGACTACAATTAAAATTAAAATACTTTATGGCATATTACAACATTAATAAAAGTTTAAAAACAGAACCTAAACATTGCAGAACCTAAACAAAAACCTAAACATTAACATTGGCAGGACCTAACCATTTAATATACAAAACCTCAAATTTACAAAAAGAACCTAATTCGAACTAAAACAAAACCTAAACATTTAATTTGCAGCAAAAGGACCTAAACAGAACAAAAACAAACCTAAACAAAACCTAAAGATTTGCAGCAAAATCAACTTAAACATTCAAAGCAATTCTAGTAAAAAACGGAAATAAAAATTAGCCTTAAAAACTTAAAAAAGTTTAATGTAAATGATAAATAGTGGCTGAAGCTTTACCTAAAAACCTTAAACCTAAAATTGACAGTAAAAAACATAAAAAACTACCCACCTTGAGTCCTTAACAATAAACAATAAGCACGCAATTTGGTTCTTCTATTGATTCCAATGAAAAATATGAAGAGGGAGGATGAAATCGAGAGAGCAGCAAACTGGCAGTGGTCCGCTACTCGCGAAAGAGAGGCATATGAGAAGAAGATAATGAAGAGACAGATCTGCCTTTTTGTTAGAATAAAAGCCCAACGCTAGAGGGGGGGTGAATAGCGTTTAAAACAAAATCGCAGGAAATTAAAACGAGAGCGTTAAAGTAAAGAGCGTAAAGAAGGAGCACACCGGATTTTATCCTGGTTCACCACAACGTGTGGCTAATCCAGCCCCCCGAGAGACTCTCTCGAGCTACACTAACTCCGTTAAGCTTAAGGGTGCTTAACAAACCGATACAACTTGAGAACCCGAGTCACACGAGCCTCAACACCTTTGCTCGGAGATACCGCACTCCAAGACTTCTCACGAAGGAACAAGAAACTTCCTTCGAGTTTACAACAAGGGAACAAACTCCCTTAAAGTGTATGAAAACACTTAAACACTCAGGAATGAAACTCTCACAAAGAGTA